TGAGATCTCTATCAATCTTATCACCTTACAAGCCATCATCATTTGGCCATTCTAGGCTAGTCTCAAAGGGAGTACGTTTGTGATGGTCCATGGATGACAGCCTGAAGGAAGGTGGAGGTAGGTGCAAGCTTGCGGTGTCCAAAGTGCGGTAAATAACGGCTGAGTGAGAGGAAAGGAAAATGCTTCTCGATGGTCTAACATATTCTTTTCTCCAATTGGCTTATTCTCTGACATTTCTACCTATGCTGTCTCTTCGGGAGCTAAATTAAGATTTAAGAGCTGTACATTAGGATGAACTATGTTGTATATCTTTTCATTTCGGAACGGCCCAATTAGGCAAAAATTGACTTTAAATATTATGTGTTATACATTGCATAATACATATATGAGCTCTCACAGGCATAGACTAGAAATAGAATACATATTGGATGTGGCTTAAATCCCCTAAAATGACTATCCATGGATGTATCAAATGACCAAGTTCACTTCAACTGGGTCGCCACAAACAGCGGGTCCATAACTCTCTACAATTGTACACAATTAGAATTCGAAAACGTCATACGCACCTCATACCGATTTTATTCTAATTAGACATAACATCATTTTTATCGAAACGAAGAGAATGTAAGCATCGCGATAGAGCTGACACGTGACTCCGGGGAGATGGAGCGCTATTGGAATCACTTGAGCTTCCCCTATTCCGGATAGAAGCTCAAGCCACCGTGTTCTTTTTTGGATTGCTCCAGTATCACCATGGAATTGGCTGTTACTTCTCCCTAGAAGTAGTTGACCCCTGCATCAACACGAGTGGAATGATTCGCATTTCCCCACCATACACATGTCTTAAGTTTGGTCTACTCTGATCCACCCCCCACGAAATCTCCAGACAACTCTCGCAAACAAACCACACCAATAGGACACCACAATGTCGACCTCATTCAACTGGACCGCATTAGCGGTAGCCATAACCGCAGTCTTCATATTCTGGACCTTCTCCTCAACCTCCTCCTCACCCTTCACCCGGTCCTTCCCACGCCTCGAAAACAAGCGTATCTGCCTCCTAATCGCACACCCAGACGACGAAGCCATGTTCTTCGCGCCAACCGTACTATCCCTCACCAAGCCCGAGCTCGGAAACCACCTAAAGATCCTCTGTCTCAGCAGCGGCGACGCAGACGGCCTAGGCGAGACGCGCAAACAAGAGCTCCAGAAATCCGCAAAGCAGCTCGGGCTGCGCAGCGAATCAGACGTCTTTATCGTCGACGACACGAACCGCTTCCCGGACGGAATGGACAAGGACTGGAACGAGGATCAGATCTCGTCGTTGCTGGCCTCGGCTTTCGCGCCGGAAATGGCTGCGCTGCAGAAGCTGCCCGGAAAGCGAGTCGATCGTAATAAGGCTCCTACCGCTACTATCGATGTCATCATTACCTTCGACAAGCATGGCATTAGTAACCATCCTAACCACCGCTCGCTGTACTACGGCGCTGTGAACTTCGTCCGCGCGCTGATGAAGGACAAGGCGGGTTTTACTTCTCCGGTCACGCTGTATACTCTTACTACGACGTCGGTGTTCCGCAAGTATGCGGGTGTGCTTGATGCACCGCTGTCCATGTTCCTTGGTGTGTGGAGTAACCTTGTTGCTGGGTTGACGGGCTCGAGAAAGAAGGAGGCCGGGGCTGCGGCTGGTCCTGTGCGGCTGCTGTTTGTTAGCTCGATAAACGAGTGGTTGACCGCGCTGTCTGCTATGGTCAACTGCCATAAGAGTCAGATGGTTTGGTTCCGGTGGGGGTGGATCAGTATTGGGAGATATATGACTGTTAATGACCTGCAACGGGAGAAGGTCTAGGTGACCAGCTCTTTCCTTGTCCCTGTTTTGGAATTGCTATGTCCTGGATGGAGGGCTAGTTTCAGATCTGTCCTACTTTTGCTCAGATCTTGTATCATTTTGGCTGATGGCCCTTTGCTTGCATTGATATCTCACGCTTCATGTCTGCATATGATTTCCCAAGGCCTATGTGCCTTCTTGTATACTCATCTTTACTATTCAGCTTACAAAGCTCATCTACCCGAGGGGCTTCATAATGGACATACACGCCTTCAAGTACGGAAAGAGTCTAGAGAAGAAAACAAAGGCGAAGACAAAAATCGTACTGTTCATGAAATTCTACAAATGGATATCATGTATGATCAATGGCAAGCGCAAATGCTTCAAACGAAACAAAAAAAAAAGCCCCGTTAATCAACTCCAAGGATTGCTATCCCGCCAGAAGATCGAATTTTGGGGTTTAGCCTCAAAGCCCAGCGCATGAATGCGACCATAAAACCCGCCAGCAGGATTATTCTCTTGCGACAAAGGATGCTCTTCGGGGTAATCAACCCGCGTCTTGAGCTTTTTGAGGTTTTCCCTTAATTCTTTGGTGTGCTTGACCTGGAAGGAGTAGATGCGATTGAGCGGCGAAATGGACGGGTCTAGCTGGGGGTACTCATAGAGCAAGATTTCCCAGAATATCCTATCATCGAGGACCTTGGGCTCAACCGGATCGAACAGTCCCGACCCATCTGGTATCCGTCGTGCATGAATGCGGCCATGCTGGCTCATGTGGCGGCTCTTGGAATTTGTTTCGCCTTGGAAATCGATCGTTCCAACCCCTCCGTCTCTATATTCGTACCTATTACGCTCTGGCAGGAAGTCTTTCCATTCTTCCAATAGTTTGGGCCGTTCTTGGAGCTCCCACACTTTGGGCGATATGTCACTCCACTTATCGGTGATGATCATTGAATAGGCTATGCGCTGCATTTGATAAATCTGCTGGAAGACTTCGAGTCGGAGGAGATCGTATGTGTTTATGGCTTCGGCGAGCAGGGGACACTGTAATAGTGACAGATCTGGTTCCACGCCATTCTGTCGTTGGTGTTTGATTGAATCGCGCACTTTCCTCCCATGGTTCGCCGGAGGCCTCATGCTGTCCAGGACTGGTTGCATACATTGCATAACGGCGTCTCTCGCTTCCTTCCTTTTTGCCCTCGTTTGACTCAAGACTTCATATGCTTTACGCATGTCTGTTTTGCAACTCTCCAGATCGCGGTCCATTTTGTTGGTTTGGGTCATATATCGGTACATTTGCAGAGTAGCAGGAACATTGTATGGCTCCGTCGTCAATATCTGGAACATGTCGCGGACCATGTCTCTTGGGACTTGGCCTTTTCGTCCATCTTCTGCCTGTCTCCGCTTGTGTACTTTGGAGAGAGTAAAAGTCCTTTCAAGCAACTCAGCCCAGACCTTGCCTGAAATTGTGATGTTGTACGAGGAAGCCATGAAGTCGACTGTTCTCATGGCGGCGTAGATGTCATTGTTTGTGCCAAAGGCATGGGCCACGGCGAAAAGAAGCTGTTCAGTTGGGTACAGACCCGACCAAGTATCATACGGCGTAACCGGTGGCAATACCGAGTCATCCCTTTCAGCTAAGATAGCATCGACATCGACGTTCCATACAGTCTTGAGTATATTCTTGGTAGCTTCCATGTCACCAACTCGGGCCGATGCGAGGAGGACGTTGATGTACGTCTGCACATCCCCCGCAAGCCCGTCCTGGCTCATTCGACTGAATATGTCCAGCACAGTTCCTTTGACACTGTTCCACGCCGTTGCGTAGCCACGGTATCCAGGGTTCGGATCTATCATGCGCCGCTTTTTGTAGCTGTGAGGGATGATGCGAGTATTGTATGCTTCTTTTCCTATGTAGCAGTGGTTCCAGACCAATGCTGACATATAGTGATTATAGCACACTGTGTCAGGAGTGACATCGTTGGCATACATCCCATCCCAGAGGGCATTGATTAAGGGGCCATTTCCCATCGCCTGAGCACAGTCGAAGAGATGAGTGTACTCCGCTAGCTGAGGTCGATATCCAGCCACGGTTCTATATTGGATAATTGTGAGTAAGTCCCTCGTAAAGTCGTCGAACACCGCTTCCAAGGTTTTGAGCCCTAGCATTAAAACTCCCCATCCGTGCAGCGTATGGTGAAGATCTCGGTAGGGTATGACAAAATGAGCTGGAGAGAGAAGGTGCAGGGCCTCGATAAACACGGTGGGTGGGAGCGATCCGACTAGCTCTACCGACCGTGGATCGGCCATGGCTTCCCTCACTTGGTTCGGTTGTCCGTTCTCAATGACTCGGAAGAAGTATGCTCTATACCGGGACTCCTCTTCGGGTGAGGTCCATTCCGGTAAAGGCACTTGTACTTCTTTTTCGAACGTCGCAGGACGTGGAACAGCAAGTTCGCCACTCCATCGTTGACTTGTTGTAGTCAATTGCCGTGTGGAATTGTGGTAGAGAGTTTGTCGCGTTTTTTGGGCAGAAACATCCCATGTATTTGTATTTGGAGAGGACACAACACAAGGTACCTGCCTGAGGCAACTGAGATGACGGTGGTCGGGAAATCGCCTTCGTTTGCTAATGCTGTTTCTAGGCCGGGACGAGGCACCCCAGCGAGAAGCGAACCTCTCGGCAAGTGAGAACCTTTGCATAAGGAAATTGTAGCAATAAATCAGTGTTCAAGTGCCCAGGTGTTCTTTGGGAAATAGAAAGAAAACAAAGAGTACAGAATCATCAGGGGCGTAAATGAGGGGAAGTGCGCTTCGACCCCGGATCTTTTGACGTACTTTTCATGCAGGTTGTGCTTCAAACTAAGTCAGCACAGGAAACCCCTGCACAAAGAATTAGGCGAGACTATCTAGGATTACTTGTATCTGGTATGTGGTTGACAACTTATACTTTACATATATAGATTCCTAATTACTCCATTGTTCTACTGCTCCACATACCTGTCAAGATTTCCAAGTGGATCCTCACGAGACTCGAAAACCCGGGGTAAATTGCTGACTCATCTCACTCTTTGCCAAGTAAAACGCTAAACCCCATTAGGTATCAGCCAAAGCTCGTTGATTCTGCGTGTGTGTGGACCTGCACTTAACCCAATCCAATCACCCTTCTATCATGGCCGACACTGAAGATACCGGCGGTCCATCCGTCTCGGAGCCCCTGGATCTCGTTCGCCTCTCCCTCGATGAGACCGTCTTCGTGAAGCTGCGCGGTGACCGTGAACTTAAGGGCCGCCTTCACGTGAGCTACCCCCCCAATCTGACAATCGTCAGGATACCCACTGACTCTGATATGTGTTTACAGGCCTACGACAGTCACTGCAACCTAGTTCTCGGCGACGTGGAAGAGACAATCTATGTGGTGGAAGAAGATGAGAACGAAGAGGAGATTTTGCGGGTATGGGATCATGTGAATCTGGGAAATTTACGCGGGGCATGGGCTAATCTAGGTTCTCGGATACAGACAATCAAGAAACAAGAAGAGATGCTTTTCGTGCGAGGTGAGTCGAAGAAATTTAGGAACATATTTGGAACATTTTGAGAGGGTTGCTGATACCTGTCTAGGAGACTCCGTCGTTTTGATCTCCCCCCAGGCATGATGGGCTTAATATGCCCCTTGATAGAGAGAAAGGCGTCCGGCGACGGGAACAATACTAGGAAGGACACGAGATACCACAAAATGCCGTCAACATAGATAGGTAACGATACCATGGAAATTGGTTTATGATCATCCGTACTAGTCCCGTTGGTTATAGTTGGATATAGCCTTGCGAGCCTAAACAGGCTGTGCAATTGTTAGTCACAGTATTCCTTATGATTCGACGTTCTTCCTGATAGATTTATGTTGAGTCACTGGTAAAAATGCGGCTGATATAGCTCTCCGCTACCCAGTTGGTATGGTCGATGACTCAACTGACTCCAACTTATCGATAAAGCTCCCCCATGTCCCCTACCACGTACTCTCAGAACACTTATTCAAATATTTACATACCTCGATATCCTTCTATCTTTTGTTCATCGAGCAAAAGAAAACTATGATCACTCGAATACATCTTCACATCCGCCAACAGTAACGGCGACCCGATCCACCGACCAATAACGTCACCACCCCAACAAGGCGGCACAGCAAGAAGTCGACACAGTTGAACTTACCACTCCACACCATGCCAGCAACCAGGAAACTAAGCCACGAAGAGCGAAAACGAGGTGAAGTGGTATGTGTCTCCAGGGTAGATGTGAAAGTTCCTCATCTTACATGATCTTCAACCTAGGCCCTCAGTGAATTCGCCGAGTATGCCGATAAACAGCAAGCCCATCGCTCCGGGCAAGTCGCACCCAGCGACAGCGGGTGTTCCACCGCCAGCGTATCGCGCGACCTTGAGGACCACGCAGAGCTTGACATTCTTGATCAATTAGGGCTGTCCGATGCCCCTCAACCAGCCAAGCTTAAGGAACTCCTTCTTGGTACAAGCGATGCCATCGAAGACAGCCTGCAAGTGCTAGCTGCGACATTACAAACGCGCATTGATGAAGGCCATGGGGAAACTATCTTCGATCTCGGGTTGGAGGATGGTGGTGAATCCATGGGCTTCGATCTCGGTCAATGGAAGACAGCGCTGCAGCGTCTGCGCGAGGCGGCCGAGACCATCCCCGCCCACTGTCGAGTATTGCTGACCTACAACGTCGGAGGCCCCGAAGAATCGCCTATTACCAATGACCGGGTACAGGGCGCTTGGGGTAAGGTCCTCGTGCGCCACCATATTGGTAATATCGAGGAGATGGCGGAGCTCCGGATTGCCGTAGTGGGGAATGTCGATGCTGGAAAGAGCACTATGTTGGGAGTACTGGTGAAAGGTGATCTTGACGATGGACGTGGTCGTGCGCGAGTAAATCTGTTCCGCCACAAGCACGAGATCGAAAGTGGGCGTACCAGCTCCGTCGGGTTGGAGATCATGGGCTTCGACAGCCGAGGTGAAATAGTTGGCAATACGCAGGGCCAGGGCCGGAAGCTCTCTTGGGAAGACATCGGCAAGCGCTCTGCTAAGGTCATCTCCTTCTCCGATTTAGCTGGTCACGAGCGGTATCTGCGCACCACGGTTTTCGGTATGTTGAGCAGCAGCCCCAACTACTGTTTGCTGATGGTCGCTGCCAACAACGGCCTGATCGGAATGAGCAAGGAGCATCTAGGTATTGCTTTGGCCCTCAATGTGCCTGTCATGGTCATTGTCACCAAGATTGATATTTGCCCGCCCCATATTCTGCAGGAGACTTTGTCCCAGCTGACCAAGATTCTCAAATCGCCTGGCGCGCGTAAGATTCCAATCTTCGTTAAGGATATGGAGGAGACCATTAACACGGCCACGCAATTCGTCAGCCAGCGGATATGTCCTATCTTCCAAGTGTCCAATGTTACAGGAGAGAACCTCGACCTAGTACGGACCTTCCTAAACATCCTACCTCACCGCGGTCAATATGACGCTGCGGGAGCCTTCGAATTCCTGATCAACGACACCTTCTCCGTTCCTCATGTGGGTACAGTTGTCTCAGGTGTGGTCAAGTCCGGTGTCATTCATGCCGGTGACACGGTCATAGTGGGACCAGACTCGCTCGGCCAGTTCACCACCACAGTCATCAAGTCCATTGAACGCAAGCGTATACAGGTGAAAGCTTGCTTTGCTGGTCAGTCTGGATCTTTCGCCCTGAAGCGCGTCCGCCGGAAGGAAGTGCGCAAGGGTATGGTAGTGTTGAAAAAGATAGAGGAGCCTCCCAAGGTGTATCGGGAATTCGTCGCGGAGGGTAAGTTGGTCATTCGGGATTTATTAAGCACATGCTAATGAAGATAGTCCTAATTCTTTCTCATGCAACCACCATCAAGCCTAAATACCAGGCTATGCTTCATGTTGGGGCAGTCAGTCAGACATGCTCGGTCATTGACATCGACCGCCCTTTCATTCGTACCGGAGATCGAGCGCTAGTCGCGTTCAGATTCGTACAGCGTCCTGAATTCTTAGCCCCCGGGGACCGTGTTCTCTTCCGTGAGGGCAAGACGAAAGGACTAGGAATTGTTAAGAGCATCGGGTATGACTCGGCGCAACCGTTGAACCCAAATGCAAAGGAGGGAGCTTCGACCCCTACACCTACGATACCTCATGACTAGATTTACTTTTACTTTCAACGAAGTTTCTTTGTTCTTCTATCTTTGTTCCTTCAAGTTTAATCTTTTTCTTGCTAAGCGTTAGACATTAGGTCCTTTTGGTCCGGATTATGTTTATGTTTACCCTGTTGATAGATCGGCCAATTGAATAACACGAGCTGGTTATATTAGTTCTCTTATTACTCCGTACGTTTGAACCTGGTTGCTTGCTTAGTATTCTATCACGTGATATATATAACATGACGTCACTGTATGACATAGGCCCAGAGAATCGCCGCTCCTCGACTATCCAATTTATATCACTGGATTCTCATTCGCAAGCCATTGAGTATCCAGTGGAATCAAATGAGATCTTACGGAAAACTGGGGATGATCCATGCGCAAGCCACCGTGGCCCATCACCACTGACGTATTGAACAAGGGCTCAATCTGTGGGTTCTTAAAGCTTGACCTGTCTGCCCAGAGCTTCCAAGAATTCAATCCACTTGCCACTTAGTATTTTGTTATACCCATTTCGAGTCATATACAAACCAACACATTTCCTCACATTATCATCATCATTCTCCTTTACCCAATACTCTTCCTCTACAGTCCTACTATCCTCTATATCAAACCCCATCTTCTATATCCGTTCGACCTTTGAACTATACCACGATACAACCATGGAAACTGTCAACAAATACGTCAACGCTGCTTCAACTGCCATCTGGGGCGAGAGTAACTCCCCTCAAGCCCAACAGCACGGCGAAGAGCCCATCTCCGGTGTTCAAGGCAAAGGACGTGCCACAGATCCCTATGATGCCGGCAACCGCGATGGTATGTACAACTTAAAACATGTTTATACAAGCCTCAATTCTTCGATCGCCACAATGCTATTTACAAGCTCCAAAACACCATGATTTTTCCAATATAACTAACGTTTCACACCGCAGAGCAACCCGGCGCAATCCAATCAGAAGTCAACACCGCACCCCAGCATCCCATCATAAACAACAAGCCCCAAGAAACCGATGTTACTAGCATCACCACTCCCCACGCCCCAACCTCCATCAGCGCCTGCACCAGCGTGACCCCGGCTCTGTCCATCTCCGGCGACCCTACGGACGCTACGGAAGCCAGCGAAAGCAAAGACAACAACGACCCCACCTCCAACCAAGAACAGCGCAGTACCTCGCAGGCCGAAGGTGGCGAGAGCAGTGACGCTCACCGCCCAGCACATGCTCATGACGTGAGTAAGGAGGCGCTGCAGGGCCCGCAGGGTCCTGCGCCAAGGCCTGCTGAGGACTTCGAGAAGGAGTATAGAGGAAAGAAGCCCGCGGGTAAGGAGGATGACATTGAGAAGAGTATGTTTCCCTCTTCCTGTGTTCCCATTCCCGTCGTATATCCTTGACGGTTTTGGTTTTGGTCGATGCTGACTTTTTTTGTTTTAGGTTCTTCAAGTGAATCTAGCGGGAAGAGCAACGAGTCGCCTTGGAGCGACAAGTCTGAGCCTTCTTCTCATGGTAGTGGGAAGCAGAGTGCTATGTCGAAGGTGAAGGAGACTGTCAAGAAGCATATTCATCATTCGAGCAATTAAAGGCAGTGTCTTTGTTTAGATTGTCCAAGAGTAATTGTTTGTGGTGAAGCCTCCGATGTCTTGACATGGGGTTTGGCTATTTTTTGGAATTTCGAGATCTGATGTCTGTATTATGCATTATTTGACATGCCTATTTCCGAAGTGTATTAATATCCAAATTTACTTGAAATTATCCAAACTGTTCTTGTAAAAGATGGCGGGAAAGTCCAACAAAGTAAGTGGGATTTCCAGGGCTATAATTTGGAAATACATGGTATCTTGCATTTGACCACACCCACACGCCGGAGCCGGGGTATTCCAAGTGTAAACAGAAGTAAGCAACCATTAAGCCATCCGAAGAATTACTCGAACAACATTTTCAGCTCTTCCAGTCTGTCCTTCCCCTTATCAGCATCACCATCATCGCCGCCAATCTTCAACCCAAGCGAGCCAGCAATGTTCATTTTACGCTCCTGCACGCGCAGCATGCGGCCTTCTATAGAATCCTTGACGACGAACCGCGTCACATTGACATCGCGTGTCTGGCCCATTCGATGGACACGGTCAATGGCTTGCGCTTCGATAGCGAAACTCCACCACGGATCCATCAGGAAGACATTGCTCGCAGTTGTTAGGTTAAGGCCTACACCGCCGGCACGTAGGGAGATGAGGAGGACTGTAGGGGCTGGCGTTGAGGGTGAGGGAGAGCTAGTCTTTGCAGGCCCGCTTCCCCCTAGGGTTTCATCTGCCATGTCGACGATGTCATCATCGGTAAAGCTCTCTGCTTTTGTAAACTCGGCTAGAACACCGGCACGCGCCTTTTGGGGCATTGAGCCATCTAGACGGAGATGCGAGATTCCGACTCGAGAGAGTTGTGGACCGATCAGGTCCAGGAAGGAGGTAAATTGGGAGAAGACAACGGATTTGGTATTCGCAGGGATGCGTCCGAGGTGATTAATAAGGGCGTGGATCTTGGCTGAAGTGTGGGCGGAAGGAGAGAGGGGGTATATGCGGCGGAGGGAGATTCGTGGGGCAGGTTGAGAGCTAGTTTGTGGCGTGCTGCTAATAGTGTCGTCTCCGAAAGAAATTGAGTTTGAGAACGGATGTCGTACTACTTCGAAGGTGTTCTTTGCATCCACTGGAGCACGGCAATTGAAGCACCGTGCTTCGACGCCCTTGTTCATTTGGTGTTGCAAGAAGTCTTCGAGGCATTTCTTGCATGCACTGTGCCAGCAAGCTGTTACCGCAGGATCGATCATAGGCTCTTCACAGCATATAGGGCACTCGCCGCTGGACTCGGTTTGGATCTGCCGAAGAGCATGGGTAGTGAACTTAACCATCGTCCCAGAGGTATCTTGTGAGTTGGCGTTCTCATTTTCTGTCGTGAATTGATTGATCAATTCTTGAAGATCCATATCGTCTTTAAATTCATTGGTTGCATCAGCTACTACCGCTGCACTCTCTTCTTCCGCGACGATAGCTTTGTTGCGTGTCATTATAGGGTGACAGCAGGTCTGGCGAAGACGAAGAATTTGAGCAAAGATTGTGCTGTAAGATTGCAATAGTGTGCCAGCCACGACATTGTCGTTGTAAGTTCGTTTCGCTCGGGTATATATGCAGTCATAAATTTCTCGTTCTTGCTTCGATAGCTCCACTTCCTCAATAGTAACTGTCTTTTTGGGCAAGGGGACCAATGGCTCGCCCTCTGGGGTTTTCATCGATTTGGTCCGCCGAAGAACAAGAGGTTCCAGTACACTTTGCACGACGTTCAGGGCGCGCACATATTCTTTGGATTCAAAGGGCACAGTGATAAATGTCTTCCAGAAGGAGAAATTGCTCCATGGCTCAACCTTTAGGAAACGAACCAGACTAAAGAGGTCCTCAAGGCGATTGACAATGGGCGTTCCAGTCAGCGCCCACCGATGGGCTGCTTTTAACTCATAGCATGATTTAGCGGACTTGGAACGGCGGTTCTTGATCACATGGGCCTCGTCAAGAATTACTCGGAAAAATTCCACAGAGAATAGACCCCCGTTTGGACTGGGTCCTAGAGCAGACTGGAGAGCGAGCTGGCGGAATTCCGACAATACCACACCATAACTAGTGACAATAACCTGTGGAGCTGTTGCATATTTGGATTCGCAGCATAATTCTCTCAAGTTGACAGCCTTGTCCGACCCATAGTAAACAAGAACTCTTAACGTCCCGGCTTTGAGTGCCTCGCTTTCCCATTGAGAAATTAGAGATGTCGGTGCAACGACTAGAGTGGTATACGGCGCCGACACCACCCCTGAAGAGCTCGGCATCCTAGCAAGGTCATTCACTGAGCTGAGACCGTTCGAAACTTGTGGATCAGGCTCGACTCTGTGCGAATGGACCAGACTGAGCATCTCAATAGTTTTCCCCAGGCCCATTTCATCGGCCAGGATTCCACCTCGGCAGTGTTGCTCTTGAGCAGGAAAGTCCACACTGAGGTCTCCCGAATACGGGTTGACATAAAAATGGTCTATGTTTGTAACTTGTGGTAGATCCTTGTCGTCAACATCCTTTCTGGGCCAAGTATATTCTTCCCACAATGGATGCATGGATTTCTCTCGAGTTTGATTTGAATCTTTTTCTTTTGACAGCATCCAATGAAGGGCTTGCTGCTGGTACTTGCGCAGATCAAGAGTGAAGGTAGATGCTGGATCTGCCGCTGGCATGTTGAAATCAAATGATTGTGCTTTTTGATACAGAGTGTCGAGCTGATCTTTTTCCAGTTCTTCGCTGTCATCTTCGCCTGAGGAGTCGTTGGAATCCTTGCTTGACTTTGGTTTGTTTTCCTTCTTCGTGCTGTCATATTGCTCGGCAATTTCAGCGGCACGCAGAATGCCATCTCTTTTGTGCTTTTCGGTAGTCGGATTGGTCGAGGTAGGATGAAGATTAATTTCATGAAACAATTTCACTAGACCGACTTGGCGTAGTCGCAGATTCTTCTCCTCGGTGCTCTCTTTCTCCTCAAACAGTCCAGTGGACCTGTTGTCATCAGTGTTCAAAGCAGCGAGCGCCCCGCTTTGGAAGGCTTCCTTTCGCAGGTAGACTCGGAGTTGTAAATATATGGTATCATTGACTCGCACCCTATCGGGTACAAACACGCAGACTCCTTCAAACCGACAGATCTTCTGATCAATCAGTGTAGAAACCCATTCAGCGGTCTCATGTGGCAGCCTTCCGATTTCTTGCCCCGCGGTATTCGTGAATCGAGTCAGAACATCACTTTTGTGATTTACAAATGCTTTGCCTCCTCGGCCACGTTTCATCGTTGGTTGTGAGCGTGCACGTTCAATGTTGACGGGGTCTCCATGCTTCAGAAATCCCAAGCCACTTCTCGTTGCCCATCCTCCCACCCCAAATGCGCCAACATACCTTACCGATGGCTGATTTCGCAGGACAGATTCGCTTTCAACTGGCGTTTCGGGGCTATGCTGTACCCGAAGAGCGGGTTTCCGGCTTCTGGCCGGCACGTTGCCATTTATCCGCATAGGCTTCTTCCATGATCCATCAAAGTATATGTTAACAGCTCGCTCGATATTATTGGAAGCAGCTGATTGGATGGTTTTGATTGAATCGGCAGGTAGTTGCTCGCCCACAATGCTGGTGAAAAGGTCGACATCAAAGCCATCTGCGAATGTGCTTGCTGTAGTACTGATAGTCACTTCCTCCTCTATTTGTTGATCTACTCCATTCTCGTGTGGAGAGGCAGTAGCCGCAATGGGTAACTCTAGGCTTTCCGTCGTTCGGACTCGTGTATGCTGTTGACTTGTTTCGATTTCAAAACTAGCAGAGCTTTTTGGGATGCTGTTGGGTGACAGAATTTCGAGTGTAGCGCCATGATCTGTTTGATATTCTCCATGTTCTGGGAAATGAGGCAGGGACACGTCTGTATCTCGGGGTTTGGTGGGTAAAGGTGAGGATGGATTGTCAGTGAAGAAACGTTGCCTCTTTGCTGGGCGTTGCTCTACATCCTCGCTCATATTGGCTGTACCATCGAGCTTTGTGATGAAGATGAAAAAAGTTGAGTTCGGGGAGACGCGCCGAGAAACGCGAAGTCAGGCGGATCGACGTCAGGTAAAATGGTGGAAATTGGGGATTTTGATATCTGCACTTTTCAAGACATTGAACACTTATTCTTCGATTTTATTTAATTTCTCTACTTTACTCTTATTTCCTCCTATTTACTATAATTTTCTATAATTTTCTAAGCATTTTGTTCATAATTTCCAACGAGTTCACCTATAGGTGCCAAGGGCATCGCTGACAAAGATTGGCCGGCCAATGCCTTTGCCTGGATTACATCGAATATTTTCCCCGGAGCTTGTCAACTTCACATTGAGCATGTCTTTTCTCGGCACAGCTCGGCCATGCCAGGCAAGTAGGGCCTGTCGATTTTATCTACGAAGCTTCCAATCACAAAAACGACACTTCAGCCGGACACAATCTATCGCCGCACCCATTACCACGGAAGAAGTCCAAGGTGCTCACAAGTACTGTGTTGCTCTTCTCTCGTATGAAATACCGTCCCTGTGGCCCTCCAAGCTCATTCAAACTGCAACGATGGAAAGAAGTCCGAAAGCTAACATAGCGCTCATCCCAAAGAAAATATGACCGCCCCTCCTACACATTGAGCACCTTCATCCCACGACATGCGCAATCCTTCTATATTGCGCTACGCGCATTAAACGTCTCTCTCTCCATGATCCCCGACACAACCTCCTCCCCCACAATCGGACTAATGCGACTCCAATTCTGGCGTGACTCAGTAACGAAGATCCTTGCTGGCACGCCACCAAAAGAACCCGTCGCGATCTTGCTTGCATCCGCCATCTCTGAACTCCACGAGCGCACGCAGGGCCGCGCGCGGATAAGCAAGGGCTGGCTGACCCGTATAATTAACTCGCGTGAGCAGACTTTAACAAATGACCCCTACCCAAATATCGCCGCGCTTGAGTCCTACGCTGAGAATACATACTCGACGCTCATGT